TACGTTTGATTCAGTTCTGATTGCTTCTGCAGGAGGAACAGCGACTCTTATAAATTACTGATGCACGGTTGAAGTGTTGTCGCCTCGCTGTGGCACGAGCTCATCTGTCGTTCGGCTGAAGGAGGTAAATAAATGGTTTTGGTGGCCTGATGTGAACTGCTGTATAATTTTCTTTCAAAGAAAAGCACAAATTAGCCAGCTGGCTCTGTGGGGTTTTAAATGATGGCGACAAATTAAAGTGAAAAGGTTCAAAACCTTTTAACCCCGACAGTGAGTGACGGTTAGGGTCACCTATGGTAATCTGATTTTTGTTCCAGGTCCAACTGTGGGTCCTGTTTAAAATGACCATTGACTGAGTCGTTGTTTAGCTGAAAGCACGATTCATATCTGTCTGTATGGTTTGTCTGAAAACATTAAAAATGAAAGTAAATCCATCACATTCCTACATTACATAAGCAGTTACAAAAACAGGGCGGATGGTTTAAGGATTCTGCTGCTAGAACAACAGGTTTTTCTCGAAAGTGAAATAAAAGCGCACAGTTCTGAGTCAAATAATTTTCAGTGAATATTCATGGCCCGGCTCCCCCGTCCCACCTGTCTGGCCTGTTTCTCCTGGTCCCGCAGCCACTGCAGGTAAGACTCCCGGGCCACCTGCTCCTCAATGGCCTCGTTGGTGGCCTCCCAGTCCGTCGCCCTCTTTTTGTCCTCCAGCATCTGCTGCTCGATCCACGACTCCTCTGACGTCTTGATGGCCGACTTCATAAGAGACTGGTCCGCATACTGCGAGGAGGAGGAAATATATTTATTATACACACACACACAACTCCCTGAGCTACAATGCTAATTATCAGCTAGAACAGCGGTTTTCTTTAACCCTGGATTTAGTCAGATTTTATTAGTGACTGGGAAAAGGAGACAAAACAAGGCACAATGTGTCAAACTTAAAGCCCTTCATGAATTTTACTTCTGCCTGCAGGACGGTTAACACAGACAATCTCAGCTGAGGTGATAAAACTCAGTACGTCTTTATAAAGTGTAAAGAGGGGGGCTGAGCATCCATTTGAGACCATCTCGTATCTCTGTTGTCATTTTGAAACCACGCAGCAGCAGAGATATGGAGTCACAGACGGAAACGGCGCCTTCAAAGAGTCGCTGAACTGAAAACAGGCCCGCATCTACATAAAAATAAGTTTCTGCATGACAAATCTTGAAGCGCTGGAGCTGTAGACGAATGTTTCGTAACAGCACTCACAGGAAAGTTTTCATCAAAAAACCCTGCCAAGTTTGAGACTTGTAGGCTTTGATCTGCCCCCTCTACTGTACATGTAAACGGCATGTTTCAAGAAGTTGTTTTCAGGCCCGTTAAACAGACGGCGTGAGACCGTAACGACCCCGACTCTGTGTAATCAAAAACTGAATGCAATGATTTGGAACCAGCAAACCCTTCGATTATTCACAACACAACACAGAAAACATGTCAACTGTTTAAACTGAGAGAAAAAGCAACTAATTAAGTTAAGCAACACGATTAGGTGTAAAAAGAGCTTCTTGGTGAGGCGGAGTTTCTTAAAACTAAAGATGGACAGAGGTTCACCAGTCTCCAAAAAAACTGGACTCTGCATGCTGAAGTACATCATCTTGGGAAATTTCTGGCGCAGAAAGCGAGGCTGAAAATCAATATTGGATGCCCGTGATCTTTGGACTGTCAGGCGGCACTGCATTTAAAACAGTCATGATTCTGTCATGGAAATCCGTGCATGGGCTCAGGAACACTTCCAGGAATCACGGTCTGTGAACACAGCCTGTTCTCTGTGCCATTCAAACAACAAATGCAGGTTAAAGCTGCAAAGAAGATCTTTTCTGGGGCAAAGGTCATTTAGATTGAACTGAGACAAAGTGGAAAACTGTTCTGTGGTCAGACAACTTGAATTTTGTTCAAATTTAGTTCAAAGCCTGCATCTCTGATGGTATGGAGGTGAATTAGGCAGGAGTCTTCGCTCTCCCATCCAAATCGTTGAACTCGGGTGTTTCAATCACTTCATTAGCCAAAGGTGTATAAAATGAAGCTTGATTCGCTTGATTTACCAATCTGTCATGCTCTAGTTTACTGAGCTTTACTATTTATTTATTGTGTTACTTGTTGTGTTTTTGCAGAACTGGGATTTCCCAACTTTTAGGATAACTAAAGTCAGTCTGATGTGCTGAGCGAGTTTGGTTTTTGTACCCCAGGTTTGAAGGCGGGCAGTCCCAGTCCGACCCCGATCGTGGCCTTGTTGGGATTAACCACGGAGTTGTAGTGGATGTTGCGGTGGTAGCTCACTCTGATTGGTTCGTCGTGGTTCTGATGGATGCCGTGGAACGTGTTGATTGGTTCTTGAGGAAGAGGAGGAGGAGGTTGTTAGATGGATGCGACTGGCTGACGGCGATGAAGGTTGTTTCTCGACTCACCTGTGCTGTACTGGTAAACCTCCACTGGCCTGTTGTACATCTCCGCCATGGCCTGCATCTCGATGTGGTTGCCGTGGCAGTTGTTTTTCCTCTTCCTGTTGATGTATGTGGTGAAGTCCTCTGTCACGTAGTTGGAGAAATAATCTGCGTTCTTCATCTGAACGCCAAAAGCAAAAACTTTATTAATGCAGACTCGAACTGTAAGAGTAACACGGGAGGAGGGGAAAAGGACGCGTCTACTCACCAGGTAGTCCATACAGTGTTTCCGCACCACTTCATGCATGTCCTGGTCTCCATACACCTGATCAGCTGAGACAGACACACAGGAAGAGTCAATTCATTTGGGATTCAGTATAAATGCTGGTAATTTGCCAGAACATTAAACAGATTTAAGAGGTTTTTATCAATGCCACTCAGAATTAAACTGATAACGAATTCACAACAACCAAAAATACTGAGAAATACGAATACATTAGAGGCGCGTCGCTGTTCGCATCCACCACCAGCAAACATATGTCGACTAACTAATTTCTCTGTCTTGATTTCAGTCACCTGAAGTTTGAAATGCCTGCATACATGTGCAGGGTCCGTTTAACAATGATGGCTGATTTTCTCCATCTCACTGCCGGCCAGCAGACATGCTAACGACATGAGCATCCAGGCTACCAACGGATTCAGCACTTTTAAGAATGACTGAAGACATTTTTACTCCAATAAAAAAATTAACTGTCCTGTTGCTGTGATACACTAGAGACCTGTCGCTGCGACAGCTCCAGCATTTAAGAAAACTGATACTTGGATGAATTCTAAAGACTTTTAAGATTTTTTCGGGATGTGCAGGAATACTGTAGGTGATTTCCACGAGGAAGCGGATTTAATTTTCCACTAGTCACTTGAGGCTAGTGAGGTCACTTTGTGATCCTTTGACGTCACTCGTTAGCACTGGACTCGCTCAGAACACTGAGCTTGGTTAGTTTTAATGAGAGCATCATGCACTGTTGCAGTCTGTTGATTGGAGTATGGACTCTGTTTTGTCTTTTTAAGACTACGCAAAGCTTTGTCTCTTCTTTTGAGTCCTCATTCTCGGCCTCTGCAGCTTTTTTAAAAAAAACTGTTTTAATTCATGTGCATGCATGATTGCATGCATTCATGTACGCAAAGTCTTTAAAGAATCCCTCTCGGGTCGCCTAATATTTCAGTGTGGAAAGTTTTACTGGAAGTTTCTGCTTGACGTTGACAACTTTGCAAATGGCGGTGGATGCACAAAGGTCACGTCAACCTATGAGAACGGCTGTGTTCTGGTTTGGTTTTGGCTTGTGGTGCAGCCCTCGATTCTTTTTAAACTTTGAGCAGGTCAGTGTTACCGGCATTTAGTCAATACATCACTGCAGGAGGTCAGAGATTCCTGAATCTCACAGAGACGGAGACTGCAGCAGAAAACTTTGAAAATGCCTCTATGATCACTCGGTCTCCTCTTTCAGCTCACGCTCTAGATTATGACAACTATCCTGTAGGACGTGGCTCCAAAATTGTGCGTTTTAAGCCAAGTTCAGGTGCGCTCCGTGATTTTTGTGTTCACCAAACATTACTTCTCTAGCTGCAGAAAAAGACATTTCAATTTACTGTAAAAGTTACGTTTTATAGCCTCATACTATTGATGTAAGGAGCCTGAGCGTGTCATTGGCTGGAAAGACTTAAGACGCCATCTTGGTGTTAGTTAAGAGACAGTTGGAAACTAAACATCCCTTCTGATAAAACCCTTGTCTGCTGTAAAAGAGCACTGATCTATAATTTATAAGCTAGTGAGGATTACTGCAAAGTAGAACAATTGCAGGCATCACGCTCAAAAGTGGTTTCATCTGACAATTCAAAATAATAATAATAATAATTCAGGAATGCTTGTAATCGGAGGACATAAACACTGTTTTGTGCAGATATGACAACATGTGTGCCTTAAAATTTTGATTTGACCTTTTGTGTGGAAAGGGAACAAAAAGCTAAGGAGGACTGGCGAGTCCAGGGTGGCCTGAGCGCCCGCCATTGTAGTTGCACAACTGTGCATGCAAGCAAGGGACCAACGCTGCAGCCATAATTGCAGCATTAGTGTCCCCTGCACTGCCTGCTCGGCCCTTTGCAGCTGGTCCTGAGTCTGCACAGAAGCAATGCACTTTCTGCACTGGTCAAAAAAAAAGAAGAAGCAAAAAACACTTTCAGTGCTGCAAGGATGTGACAAAACTAATGCATAATATTTAGTCTGTGAAGCCCGACTTCAAAGCCAAGTGTTGGATTAAAAAAAACAACCTAAAAAAACTAAAAACAAATTAAAACAATATTAATTGATCAATCTTTGTTTTCACATGTAGATTATTTTCACTGTTTATTAGCCAGTTTTTGCGTTACATGTCAAAAAACAGAGAAGCAGAAAAAAAGTCAACACAAACACACTTCCTGTCTGAGATGGTGGTGGGATGTAAATGAGCCCCATTTCGGTTCAGCTTACAGAAAGTCACATGATCTGTCACCGCAGTAATTCTCAGAACCCCCCCGATGACTTCCTTTTTCTCACCAGCGGTTTGCTTCGTGTTTTTGTGCATAAACACGGTGGTATGGCTGCAAAGTGACACACTCATAACACATCTGACACACACACACATGGCTGAGCAGCAGCAGCAGGTGTATGTGTATGTGTGTGTGTTTGTATATATATATCGCAGAAACATTCAAGAGGGAATCTCCCAGTAATCTCCCACTCAGAGCAGTGGCATGCACCCCGGTGCAGGATCTGGAGCGCAGCGAGGTTAACCCGCGGGTTAGTCACACATGCACAAAAACCACCGTTTACTGACCAACAAGTTCTCAGAAAAATGGTGTAAAAGAAGGACAGCTCTTTTTTTTTTTGCAGATAGCCACACTGACTCATACTGGGATTAAATGACTTGTAATGTGATTTTATTGATGCAGACGCGTGTTTAATGCTGCAATAAAATCAGTTTTGCTAAAGTTGTGACAGTTTGGTACAAATGACAGTGCAAACTCCAAAAACTTCAGGCTTTTTTTGATAGAATAAACATGTTTGATATCATTACACTTTTTCTTCATTGCAGCTCATCCAAAAAGAAACAACTCTGACTGGCAGAGTTTGCAAAAAATCTCGTGAACTTTCACACCGCTGTTGTCTTCGTCCATCTTTGCACGTTTCTTCAGACTATTTTATTGCTAAGCGTCAAGGTGCATTAAATTGCATCCCTTTCACTGCAGGATCCCCAGGATCTGTTGGTCACTGGGTCAGTATTGGCCCTTGGACCACGTTTTGCCCACGTGAAGCCTTGGAAGCCAAGTTTGGCTTGGGCAGCGAGTTGGTTTGTGCAGGTTCAGTGTTTTTCAGCAGCAACAGGTGCATCTGAGAGTTTGTTGAACAAAGGCATGACGCAAGAAAAGGAGACAGGAGACAAGCACAAAAGACAGAAAACCAGGAGAGGAAGGGACACATGCAACAAGGAGAAGAGAAGGCAACAAGAGGAGAAGGGAAACATAGAAGGGGAAACAAACAGGAGACGATAGAAGACACAAGGAAATAAGGCAGAAAAAAAAACAGAAGAGGAAACCAAAGCTAGAAGAGGAGATGCGAGACAAGGAGATGAGGCAGGACACAAGAAAATGAGGTAGGAGACATGAGAGGAGACAAGATGAAGAGGAAAAGGAAACAAAAGCGCGAATTTGAGTTGGTTGCTGAGAAATACCACACACACCACGACAGATAGACTTCTGCAGAATTAATAATAAACCACATGCACACACACCCACACCCACACACAAACACAACACATAAACCACAGCGAGCGTTGTGATTGGTCAGCTTGGACAGCTTTCTCAGA